CTCCAAAATCACTTACCAAACCCGTTTTACATTAAATTACATTAAAAGTTAAGAAAGTTTTTGCTTTCTCCTGTAAAGTTACTAAAAACTAACCTGTTTTTGTTTGGACAGTGATGATTTGCTACAGTCACCAGAAAATGAAACTTTTCCAGAACTAATTTGCTATATGATAGACTAATAGTCTGCAGTGGCAGTATTCATGTTGATGTAGGCACAGCGTGAGGTAAATGCAGTGCACGATTAGTCTTTGCACCCACTTTGACTAGTATGTTTTAAGCTCACTGCAAGTTAAAGATGAGTGAACTCACTTAAACACACTCACAGATGTCACTTAAGAATTTATTCAGAAGCTGGGGAGATAAAAATGTCTGCAAAAAGAGAAAAGAGAAAAGAGAAAACATGACAAGTCTTAACTTGAAAGACCCAAGAGTGCAAATGAATGGAGCCGTGACCCGTTTGTGAATGCTCTATGTCAGTGCAGGTAGAACAACTCCTTGAGCTTGTAGATGACTGGGCTGAAAAGTAAGTTTTAGGTAACATCTCGGTCAGCCTTCTGAATCAAAATCAGGGCTGAATATCCTGAGATAGCCACAAACCCCCATGAACCCTACTGTTTAGCACCCAATTGCATGCCTTAACAATCACCTGGTTGTAATCTCAGAAAGACTTGCTTCTGTGTTTTTTTATACTGTATAACTTAGTGTAACTTAAAAAATGGAAGAATAAGGCTTCATGGATAAAACATGTTTATCCTAAAACTAAAGAACATCATCAACTATGTTTGAGATTAGATGGAAAATTCCAAATTATTGCTTTAACTAAATGATGAAGGTTTCACAGAATGCTATTACTTGGTGCCTGATTGAAAGCACTCTGTGGGCTGGTCTAGATGTTTATCTCCTGTAGCTCTCAGCAGTTGGGAAATGGCACTGATGTTGCTCTAAGTAACATCTTTATCACATCACATTAGATGATTATCAGATGTGCAGGGGTGTGATAATGTATGGAAAGTAAAAATTTGCCAGCATTATATGTGAAGAATGTAGAATGTATCACATCAGTGACAGAAGCCTGTGGCCTCTCAAATATACAATTGTACACCTTGTACTCACAGGAAAGCCAACGGACCTGATATCTCTTTATCTCTCTCTTATTCATAATACATCTCATCAAACAGATCTTTCACAACCACAACATACATTGATCAGTGCTGTTGGAACAAAATCTCATATCTCTATTGTTGTCATTTGTCTGTTTTTGACATAGTTTGAAAATGCCTGTTACTCTTTATATTGTATTTAATTTCGTGATGAATGGACCAACTGAAATGTGTATATATATATATAAAAATATATATATTTGAACCTCTCCACAATGAAGGTCAGTATTAAGTGTAGTAGACAAACTATACATTACAATATAGTGCAGTAACAATCAATGAACCAGGTCATACAAAACAAGGGTAAAAAATAAATGATAAACAAAAAGAAATTGAGAGAAAACAAAACACATGAAAAATAACATAGTAGGACAATATAAACAAAAAATAACAATAGAAACACAAGTAAAATGTATAACTAATAGTAAGTTGAAGATAATACAAAGTTAATAAAAAAAGGAAAATATTTACTGTATATACATATATATATATATATATATATATGTATATATATGTATATATCGATCAGGCATGACATTATGACCACCTCCTTGTTTCTACGCTCATTGTCCATTTTATCAGCTCCACTTACTATATAGGTGCACTTTGTAGTTCTACAGTTACAGACTGTAGTCCATCTGTTTCTCTGATACTTTGTTAGCCCCCTTTCACCCTGTTCTTCAGTGGTCAGGACCCCCATGGACCCTCACAGAGCAGGTACTATTTGGGTGGTGGATCATTCTCAGCACTGCAGTAACACTGACGTGGTGGTGGTGTGTTAGTGTGTGTTGTGCTGGTACGAGTGGATCAGACACAGCAGTGCTGCTGGAGTTTCACTGTCCACTCTATTAGAAACTCCTACCTTGTCAGTCCACCTTAGATGTAAAGTCAGAGACGATAGCTCATCTGCTTCTGCACAGTTTGTCTTGGTCATCCTCTAGTCCTTCATCAGTGGTCACAGGACGCTGCCCACAGGACGCTGTTGGTTGGTTGGCTTATTCTCAGTCTGCTGTGTCTGATCCACTCAGACCAGCGCAACACAGTCTGCAATTGTAGAACTACAAAGTGCACCTATATAGTAAGTGGAGCTGATAAAATGGACAATGAGCGTAGAAACAAGGAGGTGGTCATAATGCCTGCCTGATCGGTGTACATATATATACACACACTGTATACACAGTAAATATTTGCCATATGACAATGTTTCAAGATTTTAATTCTAATATCATGATTTGATTCTCATGGATTGTTAAAATTTGCTCAATTTACTGTATCAGTAAGAATGCAGTTTCCTTTGTTCACGCATGCTCACACTTTACACACCTCTTTTCCTGCTCTACCTTTTACATTAGGCTTCAGCAGATATCTCCCAGCTCCCATGGAAACTAGATAAGACACAGCGCGTGTGTAATTTGTTTGTGTTCCCGCAGCGTCTCTTTTCAGAAGTGTATTAGCGGCATGTTAGATGTTCACCTGAGCAGTGTTGTGGTTTTTGAAATGAATGCCAAGCCACCTGCTTTACAACAGCACCCGGGTGTGCCTCGTCTTTAGATAGACGATGGATATGCAGGTGCTTGCAAAATAGATTTGGGTGTGTTGGTGCTAAATAAATAAATAAATAAGTAAATAAATGCGGTTGGTAGTTGGTGCAGTGTGCTGGACAGACACCTTGTTACTGCACAGTGGTATAAATCACCCTGGAGATACTGGCTCCATGGCCTTATTATTTGGAGCTTGTCTTGCATTGCACTTTAGCTTGTTAGGCAGGATATGGGTGTAGTCAGGCTTGGACAGAGAAACTTTCATCCCTACAAATTGTAGTTATTGTCCCCAATAAGGCATGTCATTTTATACTAGAAATTTCTGGCTTGTAACTCATTGAAAAAAAAAAAAAAAAAAACAGACAAATACCAATAAAAGTGCAGATTTCAACAGAAATGTATTACAATTTGAATTTAATGAAAAGTTATTGTTGCCTTGTGTATTGAACTTTTTACAATTTTGCCATTTTTTTGTCATTGTTTGACCTGAATGTTTCAGTTGCCAATGTAAATTATGTAACCATGTAATTGACTACATTATTGCATACATTATTTACCTTTGAACAATATACACAATTGCATAAATATGTTACACTCACATAGCAAAGCAATGGTAATAACAATACGCTCTTAAAAACAGCCACAAAGCGTTTTTAACAAATGCTTTAGAACTGGTCACCAACACTAATCCTGGAGATCCAACTTCCTGTGGAACCTGGTTCCAACCACAACCTGCCACACCTGCTCTACATCTTCAGAGGTTCTTGATTGGTTGGATCAGATGCAAAATTGTTAGGTAATGCAGGGGGAGCAGGATGTTAGATGCAGGTTGAAACTAAACTCTGCACTAAAGTAGATCTCCAGGAAGAGATTTGGTGACCTCCATTATAGAAGAACCACTTTGAGTTCCCTAAAGAACCATGTTTGAAAAAGAGATTTGTAGGTATGAGGAAAGTTTTAAACGCTTAAGCCAGGGGTCAGAGCCACATGTGGCTCTTTTACTGTCCTGCTGTGGCTCCACAGCACAATTAGATTTGTAGGTAAAAATGAAATAATCCTCCTTTGCAGTAAAATAAAGCTCTGCTGGTCATTCTAACACAGTTTACACAGTAAACAGTCTTAAATGCTGGAGTTAATGTAGAACTGCTAATTAACCTGCTTTTTGCCCTCAAGATTGTGCAGACAACACTCTCACCAAGCTAGTAGCTAATCAAAGGGCAAAGAGAAGATTTAAGACAAACAGCGATAATTTGGAGATTAATGGCCTTATTAGCGTTTATTATCACACCAGCTGGTTTCCTTATATGTTTAATCTGCAACAAGAAATTGTCAAACACTAAAAAGTCACGAAGCTGAAGTCAGTTTCTTATTCACCAGCTTCTTGTTCAAACTTTCCCGTTCCACCTTAAATGATGCAGCAGTTACATTCTGGCACCTCAGGCACCATTTAAGATGGAATGGGAAAATTGGAACAAGAAGCTGGTGAATGAGAAGCTGACTTCAGCCTCGCAAAGGGTCGAACATTGAGAGACATTTTACAAGAAACTCTTTTGCGGAAAAGTTTCCTGCTAGAGATGCGAGAAAAGCAGCTATAGCTGAGCTAAAGCTTAGAGCAGAGCAAAGTAAGTCTGTGTTTTCATTCATATTATATTTTTTTATCCTGTACTAGCACATCAGCACATACTGAGATATATTTACAGCCAAGATGTTAAAATGGACATAAAATGTTGTGGCTCCCAAAGTGGTTAGATTTTTGTGAAAGGAAAAAATGGCTCTTCTTAACATTTGGGTTGCTGAGCCCTGGTGTAAAGCATCTTTGCATAATGTCAAGATTCTATACTTTTCCTCAGACCTTTAGACAACATGAAGGCTCTTTACATTTTAAAAAAATGTTCTTCACTCTCTCAAAAGAGGTTCTCTAAAGAACCATCCAGTGAAATTTGTCAGGAAAGTGCTTTTTCTTTAGCATCATACAGAAAACCCTATTTTTTAGAATGTAGTCTTGCAGAAGCTTAAACTCTGCAGATGCTTTGTGAACATTCAACAATATCTGATTAAATATCCATCAGACTTTCTACCATACATCACATCAGCAGGATCAAACACTATGGTTCTATTTTAATGCTTTTCTTTCTTTGATTTTTCCTTCCTGATGAAAACCAACACTGTTTGTTCTCTCAGTAATTGTCAATATGTCTGCTGCGGCTCTCCTTGTTATTGCTGTTGGCCTCACTGATCTCCTCATCATCTGTTGTTCCCGAATGACTCGACTTTTCCACCCGTCTCTGCTCCATCTCTAGGGAGGAGGCCATGATGTCCACTTACTTTGAGACGGTGGATGATTTGCTGGCTTCATTCGGGCCAGTGAGGGACTGCTCCAAAGACAACGGCGGCTGCAGGAAAAACTTCAAGTGTGTTTCAGACAGACGGGTGGACTCCACAGGCTGCATGGTGAGTCAGCTACCATAATGCAGGGGTGGCACCGCGTATTGTTTGTTAACATATTGTTTCAGAAAGAAAGAAAAAAAAACAGCTGACTGAGTGACAAAATGCAATTAGGCCACTTTAGCATTTTTGCCAAAAAGAAATCAATAAATAAAAATAATATAACTGAATTTATGGATATAATTACATTCTGATGAAGCTTTGCTCCACTAATATTGTTATAATAAAATGCAACTGGATTTTAAATGAAGAAAATCCCTATTTTTAGTCAAATTGAGACAAATGTGATTAGTCGTGATTTACCACACTGTTATTTTACATTATTTCAATCTTTTGAAAGCCGTACACTCTTAAATGGCTCTTTGAGGGCTCTGTAGCAAAGATAATGGTTCCATATAGAACAATGAAAACTCAAAGAACTTTTTTCATGATCGTAGATTTAGACAGTTCTATATACAGCCCTACTTAAAAGGGTTCTGCTATTGTTACGGTGTCATGTCTGTAACAATAGATGAACCTTTTTTGGTTTTATGTAGAATCTTTTTCAAAAAAGTTCTATATGGAACCATACACAACACACTCTCCATTATATGAAGAACCATTTCACCATGCAAAGAACCATTTAAGCATGAAATGGTTCTACAAATAACCCATGGCTCCCTTTACTAAAGAACCCTTGAAGAACCATCTTTTCCAAGAGTGTTGTAATTATTTAATTATCTTTTACATAATTTTGCAATGCAAGTAAATACAAAGCAAAATAACTTCAGGTTTCTAAAGGTTAAACAGCAGAACTGGCAAAGTTGCATTGCAATACTTTAAATGAAAAAGAGAGATTGATTTCCAACCTCCCTGCTGTTGAGCACACACTCTCAGTGATTTAAGTGTTTGGCATTTTTGCCAAATGGCATTTGAATTACAAGGTGATTACAACATTACAACTATTGTTGCATGAGCACTAACTTGATATCATAAGACCTCACCAAATACCCCCTGCACACCATTAAATTAAATGTGGTTAAAGGTGGGTACTAAGGGGCTTTGTCAGGTTTGGGCTGCAGTATGAGTTGCTGGTGTTGGTATAAAACAGTGTTGAGGTTTAATAGCACACTTACTTTCATGGGATGTCATTTCAGCGTTAGCTAACTTGTGTATGTAGCATTATTGACTGGTAAACAACCTCACAAGTCACATGATCCAGTGCTTGGATCTGCATTAGAGTCTTTTTTGTTTGCTAATTGGCAACTTTTGAAATGTAGAGAAAAACAGGTTAAACCTATTAGAGTGGGCATGATGGCGACAACTGAATGATGCATGAATTCTATGAAAGCTAACTATATTTGTGAAACATTTTTATTTGACTTTATTTATGCAAACGTACACATTATAAAACATTGTATTACTGAATTTCATCATTAATGCTCAGCACTGCATATCAGCTGTAGTCAAAATGTTCAGGTATCAAAATGTTGTGATATATTTCCCCTGTTGTCCACTCTTAACTTCTGAGAGCAGTGAAATGGAGGCTCACTTTCAAACTCAGTCAGCAGTTCTGAGTAGTCCAAGTTAGAGCACTACATGGGCGAAAATCAGGAATCGCCAGATCAGTGTTTGGCTTTCATTCCAGATGACAAAGAATGCAGAGGCCAGTCGAATTACACCGCCGGCCCAGCCCCCTAATGATCGGCCCATCCATCATGCAGGAACATGGCGAGCTCATCAATTTAATTGTTTTTACGAGCAGCGCCCATCCTCAAACTGCCTCCAGCCTCACTGAAGCATTCCTATCTCTTTCCCTTGTAAATCTGCCCATACTGTACAGACCCACCGTCCACTTTACATCAAACCAAGACAGGCTTTATCTGTAAAAATAACGATTCGAATGGAGCTCATTAGGCAATGTGGTTTGAAGACTGGTCCAACTTTGAAGCTTGGGCCAAGAGGCAGTGAGTACAATTCAAAACAGTGAATAGTTGAATTGAAAATATATAAACTTGCTCTGCCAAAAATGAGCTCAGGAACAGAAGGGAAAATCATTCAACTGGTATAAATACATGACTAAAATTGGATGATGTCATCATGGGCTGATATCCAATCAGCTACTTGTTACTGTTCAGTTTATGCAGTTATTATACTCAGGTTGTTGTTTAAGTCATTCTAAATAGAGCCATTCCCTTTACCTAAGAACCTTAAGTGTGTAGTAATTATGTAATTGCCTTTAAATAATTTTCAAATACACAGCAAATTAAATTCAGATTTCTAAAGATTAAATAGAAGAACTGGCAAAGTTACAGTGCAATACTGTAAATGGAAAAAGGGAGATTGTTCTCCAATCTCCTCCTACTGAACACACACTTTCAATACTTTTAGTGCCCATTTTTTCCAGGGACTAAAAGAGTTATTGAAACCAGCCAGGCACCAAGAGCAGCGTTTGATAATTTCCCCACAAAAGCTGCTAAAGCACTTCACCATGATCTTTCCCCCTCGAGTGATCAATGCACTAAGTCATCAGCTTTACGTTTATGGGATTGCTCCAAATATGCTTTATCTCAAAGTCCAAGACCGTCCATTTAAGGAAGCAGGTTAGCTGAGAAAAGTGAATGGCACATTCCTCAATGTCAACTTTAATGGATATTTCGAAAGCGAGCAGTCAATACCGTATCATGTCGTGGCCCTTTTTTCAATATAGACCATTTTCTGAAGACATTGCTTTCATTGATAATCCTGTCAGCAGTGGACAGTGATCTAAAAAGGGGTTACCGCATACTGGAAATATTGAGCTGTGCGTTAAAACAATCAGCTTTGCACTTTTTTTGGGGGGGATGTTTGAGTGACAGATGAATAATCCGTTTAAGTGTGTACAGGGGCTCTCTTACTAAGCCTCTATTAGTGGAAGTGTTGAGACGTGGCATTTTGCAGGGTAAACCTCTTACTTCCTCGTGTCAGAAAGGCTGAATGGTGGAAAGTATGGAAAAACGCAAGCCAAAGAGGTGTCATAACCTATTGCACAAGATAAAAGGAGAGGCCCAAGACAACTGAGAAATAAATACTTAATGTTTTAAAGAGCAGAGAGTTATTTATGATGTTTTGCTGAACTATTACATAATAATTGCACAATTACATAGTATTTACATAGTAATTACATATTTGTTACATATGAATTACTTTAAAATTCCACATTCTAAATTGAGAGCTTCATGTGTGCACTTCTAACTTTTTTAAATGCCAATCAATGACAATAAACATGCAAAACAAGACTGTACAAACACCATCAAATTCATATTATAATGGAATATCTTATGTTCTACTTACAAACACAAATGTTTTGTGGATTGAAAGTTTACAATTCACACTTTCCAGACAATTTCTGAAGTTTTTCAATGAGTTATGAGAGGGAAATGAGTCATATGAAATCATAACATGCTTTTGTTGTCTCCTGAGACTCCTCGGATTTACAGGACATGGTGGTGTAGCCTCCACATCCACAATTACTCACATCATTTTGTTGCATATCAATTTACAGTCCTTGTTTGTCATTGACGTTAAACAAAATGGCTTTAAAACCGCTGTGACATTATGCTAAAACAGTTCCTTTAATTCAAATAGGATTATTTGTGGCCGTGAAGGAACAAATAATGTAAATCAGTTAATTGAAAAGCGCATTCTCCAATGATAGGATTTATACTTTTTTTTGCAACACATCATTACAGTCATTTATAATGGCAAGCATAGACAAGGCTGCATCACAACGTAGTGGAGCCACAGCATCCTGCGCTGAGGGCATCATTAACTCCTTAATGTTGTAATGGAGGCAGGTGAGCTGGCAGCCTTTTTATATGGTTTTAATGGACTTGTTTTCATTTGCCATGCTGCACTTCTTTCATTTAAAGCAGACCCTTAATTGCAGGTCTATTAGTGTACAAATCGTCCTTAGCAACCTTTGGCCTCCTTGTAGTGCTTGAAGCGATTTCACTTGTCCTTGTTAGGAGGAGTGGGTAGATTATCTTCATGACAAGCTTTCTAGTAGTTCTTTTCTTGGCCTTATTATTTCAGCAGACATAAATAGTGTTACTTACTCCATAAGTAATTGGACAGCAGTCTCCAGCAGGCTGGACTGGAATTCAGTGACTATGAGGTTAAATTGCACATCAGTTTTAGAGGATATGTATTAATAAATTACATAATATTTGGTAGATGAGAGTTGTGAGTGTAATATTATTTACTAGTCTAATTTTGGCATTGTTTTATTAATGCTATTTGTTTTAATGCTTTTATTGATCTAGATATATTATGTTTGTTATTTTTTTCTGTTTGCTATAATTTGCAATGCATGCTTTATAGGGAGCCACTATAAATGAGACCTTGGTCTTGGTGGGCTAACCTGCATCTGTATGAACAAATAAAGAATTATATAAATGAATGAATAAATATTAGATGAATCAGGCACCGTAATTAACTGGACAACCTTTAGACTGACGTAATACGACTAACATAAATGAGATTTTTTCTGATTGGCTGGGCTTCACTGTGCCTCCTTCAAAAACAGTCCAGGCTGAAACATTTCTTATAATGTCAACACTAATTGGTGGGGCTAAACTGCTATAGAATTGGCAAATATATGTAAATGTGTTGTTTGTTTGTGACAAAAACAGTAAATATAAACCAGACCATTTTTGTGCATTTTCATACCAATGCATGTATGAACTGAGAAATGAATGGCTCAGTTTGAAACTGAGTTTACATTCTATATTAAACTCCTATTTAGTGAAAATAAGGAAAATTCTGTTTTTTTTTTATAATATGAACCCTTTAAATAAACTCATGCCAAAGCAGACCAATAAAGCTTGAGTGAAATATTATAGCACCTGGAGAGAGTCATTAGCATTAGCACCTATTTATTACAATGGGATTTGCTCAGCGTTGCATGTTACCCTTCCAGTATGTGACTTGGACTCCATGCCATCTTTGCTCCCTGTGGATTCACTTCCAGCAACAGAATATGAGCC